TGACCCTCCTGACCCTTCTGGAACCCCGTTGCTGCCCTGCTGACGTGCTCTTCTGCATTGTTGTCTTTCAGCATTTCTTGTGTTACGTCTGTAAAGAATACGTGGAGGATCTGGGCAAAATCCCCAAGAGCGTCCTCCGAGTAAGTTTCCCGAGTGAGCGGCCGTGGCCAGTGCGAGGGGGTGAGCTGTGAGTGGGCGTCCCCTCCGCCTGCATCCTCCAGAGGGGCAGGGACCTAAAGCTCTCCTTTGCGCCCTCCTGAGAATGTACTAACCATCGCAATTTTTATGTTACCTGTAAGCCGCCTGTGTCCAAACCCAGATGTTGCATAAGAAAGCAAAATCAAAACAAAACACAGGCTCAACTGCCTGATGTTTTTGGTCCTTTAATTTTATAACCTAGATAGCTATTCATTATAGGAAAATGTTGACATGTCTTAAAAATGCATGCTTGTATTTGCCAATGAGTTTCAAGTTTCACGTCCCTGTTTTTTCCTTGGGTCCCCAGATGTGGGTGGAAGATGTTGGTGGAAGACTCTGGGCATTTGTCAAACTAAGATCTGTTTTCAGCACACATTTATCAATTAGGATGTATGAGGAAAAAAATTAACCTGTCTGCCTGCCCTTCTATTCCTTTTGTTTACAAGTTAATATTCTGAAACATCTTTACAATGTTAAGGTATAACATCAACCTTTACACCCCCAACCCCCAACCGCACCCCAAGACAGGGTTTTTCTATGCAACAGCCCTAGCTGACCTGGAACTAGCTCTGTAGACCAGGCTGGCCCCGAACTCACAGAGATCCATCCATCTGCCTCTGCTGTCTCCCGAGTGCTGGGATTGAGAGTGTGCCCCACCACTGCCTGGCCTCAACCTAACATTTTTAATGTATTGACATTATTGATTTACTTAACATACAAACGGGTCTTATTGTAATATTTTCAAACGTGAATACTTTGTTCTTCATTGCTGCCACCCCTTCTTGCTTCTCTCTTCTCCAGAGCCACATTGATCTCCTTTGCTTTCTAGATACGTATCTTTATATTCCTTTGCCCTCTCATTCCCTCCTACCCCTGAAACTCACTCATCCTCTCAGCCTCCTTTCTGCTTTCATACCCTCATAAATACATGCATGTAAGTTTAAACCTAGATTTTGCATGTGAGAAAAAGCATGCCATATTTGTCTTGTGTGGCTTAATTGACTTGGCATAATGTCCATTTCCACCCATTTCCTGCAGTTATCATGACCTCATTCTTTCTGGCTGATTGCATTTCCATTGTGTATGTGATGTTTTCATTGGTGGTGGTTTTTTGTTTATTGGGGTTTTTTGTTTGTTTGTTTGTTTTTTCAAGACAGGGTTTCTCTGTGTAGCTCTGGCTGCCCTGGTACTCTGTAGACCAGGCTGGCCTATAACTCATAGAGATCTTCCTGCCTCTGCCTCTGCCTCTCAAGTGCTAGGATTAAAGGCGTGTGCTACCACACCAGGCTATCAAAATGCAAAGAACTTTTAAAGTAGATGCATTTTTGGTGATTTTGAAATAGACAGCACATTACTAGTCACTCTGTCGCTGTGGATCATTCTAAAGTGATCACTCTTCCTCATGTCTAACTCAAATTGTACCCCTTGAACAATTTTCTGCATACCCCAACCCCTTTCTCCCAGCCTGTGGTAACCACTGTTTTGTTCTCTACTTCCATTAGTTAGACTGAATCCATATGTATCCTAAGTGGAATTGTCTAGTATTTGTCTTTCTGTTCCTGAATTATTTCACTTAGCATAATGTCCTCCATGTTTTCACAAATGTCAAAAAAAAAAAAAAAAACCTCTCTTTCCACACTTTTCTTTATGCATTCATCCACTGATAGACACTTGGGTTGAGTCCTTGTCTTAGCTGCCGTTGACAGTGCTGCACTGAACATGAAGTGTGGGGTCTCTTTGCATGCTCATTTTGTTTCCTTTTTTATGTATAACCATAGTGGCATTTCTGGTTCATGTGGTAGCTCTGTCTTTAATGTTTTTGAAGAGTCTGTGTACTGTTTTCCTTAAGGCGGTACTAATTTATTTGCATCAGCACCATATCCTCACAGATATTTACCTCTTTTTGAATAGTAGCATCTCTCCTGGGGTCAAGAGACATTTCATTGCTGTTTTCATTTCCATTTCTCTAATGATTAGTGATAATCAATATTTTTGTGTTTAGAGTGTACAAATTTGTATGCATGTGTGTACAAGTTCATGCATGTGTGTTCATGGAGGCCAGAGGTCAACCACAGGTGTTGCTCCTCAGGTGCCGTCCTCTTGTTTTTTTATGTAACATCTCTCTTTGGTCTGGAGCTTGCTGATTTGAATGGGCTGAGTGGTATTGGGAGCCCCAGGATCCATCTGTCTCCACCTCTCCATTGCTGGGATGTCAGTACATTCAGCTGCACTGGCTTTTTTTGCATGGATTCTGGGGATAGAACTCAAATCCTCATGCAGACATTTTACCAACTGAGCCATCTCCCCAGCCCAAGAATATTTCATATAGCTACTGGCTGTTTGTATTATGTGTTCTGCCCTTTTGAGAACTGTCTATTTAAATCTTAGCTCCCTTATTGCTGGAGATCAAATCCAGACAGTGCATAATTTGCATAGGTTTTCTTAGTCCAGTCAGCAGGTTGTGTCTTTTCTCTGTTGTTTCTTTTGCTATATAGGATAACATAACCCTTGCATGTTTACTTTTGTTGCTATGCTTTATTGATTTATATGTGCATGTGCGGAGCTCAGACAGCTTGCAGGAGTCAGTTCTACTATGTGGGTCCCTGAGATGAAACTCAGGTCATCAGGCATGGCAGTACCTTTACATACTGAGACAAATCCTTGCCCAAAAATGTTATACTGAGCTTCCTCCTGTGCTTTCTTCTAGTAGTTTTATGTTTAATGTTTAAGTCTTGAAATTCTTACTAGAGAAAACAAAGCACCTGAATTACTCAAATATTATACCATACATCTCTTTCTATTCATACAATTTTGTTGTTTTCTATTCTTTTAGAAGCCTATAGGTAGCATTAGAAGAAAACAAAAGAATTGCTTTAGGGAAAGTTCTTAAGACATAATTTCTAATAATATGTTTTTGTCCCTCTTCCTCCCAAAGGAAGCAGATGTCACCCTCATAGTGATTGGACAGTCATCATACCATCATATTGAGGTAACTGTCTAGCAAACTGAGGAGCCACCATATTAAATATATTTCAGATACAAAAATTGCATATGTTGGGCCCCTGAGCATAGTCTCGGTTGGCAGAAAGCTAGGTTGTCATTACTTTTCTCTCATTTCTTCTTAATTATTCTTTTTAGCCTTTCTGCAAACTGACTGGATATTCTCATGAAATCTATGTTGATCCTGAGAGAGAAATTTATAAAAGATTGGGAATGAAAAGAGGGGAAGAAATTTCCTCCTCAGGTAAGATGTTTGACATACAATGCAATTCTCTCAAACATGTGTGTATTCTCATACTGGAGCATATGTGCATAGCAAAGGTGTGTTTGATACGTTTTCTCTAGCTGTGACAAAATAGGCATCAAAGGGGCTGGTGAGATGGCTCAGTGGTTAAGGACACTCGCTGCTTTTGCAGAGGACCTGGGTTCAGGTCCCAGCACCAATATATTGGCTCACAACAACCTGTAACTCCAGTTCTGAGGAATCTGATACCTTCTGGCATCCAAGGGCTCCTGCACACATGAGCACACACACATATAGACACACACACACACACACACACACACACACACACTTGCACATTATTTTTAGATAGTAATAACAATAAAAATAAATATTAAAAAAAATTATTGGCAAAGGGACTTTAAGGTATCAACACTGTTTAGAAGCCCAAAGGCTCTTCTGAGATTCAGGCTCTTAACTGTGAACTCCCTGTAAAATAATTTTTTAAAATCTTACATACATTATTAATTTTACAATACACACTTCAATTCCAGAAAAAAAAGAAAGAGAGAGAGAAAGGAAGAAAGAAAGGAAGGAAGGAAGGAAGGAAAGTTAACAGCCTTAATTAGGGTTTCTACTGTGGTGAGAAACACCGTCACCAAACGTAACAGGTGCCTTAATTAGGGTTTCTACTGTGGTGAGAAACACCGTCACCAAACGTAACTTGTCGGGAGGAAAGGGTTTATTTCATCTTATACTTCCACATCACAGTCCATCATTGAAGGAAGTCAAGGTAGGAACTTGAGGCAAGGACCTGGAGGCAGGGAGTGAAGGGTTTCTCTGTGTAGCTTTGGAGACTATCCTGGCACTCGCTCTGTAGACCAGGCTGACTTCGAACTCTCAGAGATCCGCCTGCCTCTGCCTCCCAAGTGCTGGGATTAAAGGTGTGTGCCACTAACGCCTGGCTTAGAAATGCTTTTGAATTCAACATCACTCATTTTTTTCAGGACACAGGCAGAATGTAGCCAGATTCTTTGTCAGAGTATGACACTAATGGCCTGTGGCCCTGCTCCCAATTAAGTTCTATTCTCCTTTAAGCCTCAAGAGCCAGACCTCCACAGTCTGTGTTTCTCTTGGCATTCTGGTGTTCCTGTTCAGGTGATTCTAGCAGTCTGCAGCTTCTTTAGGAAGCTGCTTGCAACCAATAGCAAAGGATGTGGGAGGTGTTGAGGGAACGAGAGCAGACAGTAGAAAAGTGCTCCCTATGATCCCATTTTTGTGAAAACCTCTAGTGTGCATTTTTGTGTTTTAGAAGATAATGCAGTATTTAACTAGAAGTTGGCATTCTTGGAGGAGGGAACCTTGTATATGCTAGGCAAGCTTTCTACTACCAAGTGGCACCCCAGCCAACTTTCATATTTTTTGTGAGGACACTTTACTTCCATGATTAATATAAAAAATATGATGAGTTTACAGCCTTTTGTGTCTCAACACCACCCACGTCACTGAATACTAAACCTAGCTTCTGGATAGCAGTTCAAGCAGAGAGAGAGGCTTCTCTTCTCGAACTTTAATAATGCCTTGTAGCTTACCATATACTCCATTGCACCATGTAGCTAACCAAAGAGTTTGGTGTTTATTCAACTTTGTGTTGCCCACATTCACTGTTCTTACTACAATTTCAGTGTGTTTAGAGAACCTTAGCAAGCATTAGCTGTATTTTTATTTATTTTGAGATTGGAACTCATTATGTAGTCTCAGTCTGACCTTGAACTTGTGGTCCTGCTGTGTCTGCCTCCTGAGCACAGGGATGATGGGTTCACAGCATCAAACCCAGCTACGTGGACCCGTTTGTCTTTTGTAGGCCAGACTTGATTTCTGAAATACTAGCTATGAGAAGTCAAGACTCCAGTCAGTTGTTCTCAACAGTTGTTGCGTCCTTTCTGTGACACCCACTGTGTTGGATGCTCTTGGGTGATAAAGGACAGCCTCTGTCGTCCAGGGGTTTCAGTGCAGCTTAGAGGTCTGTGATGGAGAGGGTGCAAGAGGGACAAGTGCCTGTTTTGAGGATGTGGAAGAGAAGGGTCTAGAGGCAGTTGAGGTCCCAGCTGGCCATGAATGTTGCTGGTGGAGAGAGGATGGGAAGGGGTGCTCTAGACAAAGACAGGTGTCAGGAGGTGCCACTCACTTGAAGACATGCAGGCACCTGCCTCTAGCTGATCTGAAATGAGTTATTGGATAGGCTGGGCTGCTTCCTACTGAATTCAGGTTGCCTCAGAGTTTGGATTTATACTTGGGGAATCCTCATGTGTTTGTGGCAGTTAAGTAAAGGAGTCACAGAGCATGTGGAGGAGGAACCAGACCTGGCCAAGCTGAAGCCAGTGATGGTGACAAAGATGTACTCAGCCAAGGAGGCCTCACCGGAGATGGGGCTGGGAGCTGCTTGTGAGGCCAATGTGCCATGATAATAATAAAAATTGTTATTATTAATGTGTATGAGTGTTTTGCCTGCACAGATGTCACATGGGTGTCTGGTGCCCATAGAAAGCTGGAAGAGGGCATCTGTAGCTGGAGTTTCTGTCCCACCTGGCTCCACAATGTTTAGCCCCAAATAAACACACGAACACTGTATTAATTATTAAACTGTTTGGCCGATGGCTTATGCTTCTTACTGGCTAGCTCTCTCTTAATTACTAACCCATGTCTATTAATCTATGTATTGCCATGAGGCTGTGGCTTACCCATAATCTGGAATGTTACTCCTTCAGCAGCATGGCTTTTCTTGGTGTCCTTTCCCCAGCATTCCCCTCCTCTAGTAGCCCCACATATTCTTCTTGCCTGGCTACTGGCCAATCAGTGTTTTATTCATCATCCAACAAGAGACACATACACAGAAGGACATCTCCAATCAGGCATCATGAATAACCATGTGGGTGTTGGGAATCTAGCCCCAGGTTCTCTGGAATAGAAACCAGTGCTCTTAACCATGAGCAGTCTCTCCAGTCCCTTTCCCCCTGATTGTCATGTTCTTTTGCTGGTGGTTTTATTTTATTATGATTAGTTTTTTGAAACAGTCTTGCAATATAGCCCTGGCTGACCTAGAACTTGCTATGTATACCAGGCTGGCCTCAAACTCACAGATAACCTCTTGCCTCTGCCTCCCAGTTCTGGGAGTTAAAGTGTGTGACAGCATGCCCCATCTTACTGCTGATTTTAAAGACTGCAACCTAAACTTGACTAAAACTGATGAGCCAGCATTCAGTTTTCACCTGCTGGTGTAGGATGGATCACAGGGCTCAAGTTTGGGCTTACTGTTTTCATGTGCAGTCTTAGCCTGTGCAAAATGTTTGTAAGCCAGGCATGATGGTGCACATCTTTAATTCCAACACTTGGGAGGCAGAGGCAGAGTTTAAGTCCAACCTGGTCTACAAAGCAAGTTCCAGGACAGCCAGAGCTGTTGTTACACAGAGAAACCCTGTCTTGAAAAAAAAAACTATCCCAGCACTCGGGAGGCAGAGGAAGGTGGATCTCTGAGAGTTCGAGGCTAGCCTGGTCTACAGAGTGAGTTCCAGGACAGCTAAGGCTACACAGAGAAACCTATCTTGAAAGAAACAAAAAAAGAAACAAAAGTTTTATGAGTTTCACTTTTGTGACACTACCTTTCTTGTCTCAAGAAAGACATGAAATATAAAGAAAATAAGTGAATTCCAAACCAAATGTACTTTGTAATTATAAAAGAATACATGCAACTTGTTTTCCACTTCTTTTATTTAAATATATCTCATATAGCATACAGTATATATTTTTAAAGCTTTGTCTGTGATACTGTTATATAATACGCATTATATGTTAAAACCATATAGATTTATATTAAGGCTTATACAATCTGCAGTATATAAATACGGTATACCAAATAAATACATATGCCTATGTATGATTATATAATATAATCTTTGGGTTTAAAGTTAAAATATCATATTATCAAACAAAATAATAGATTTGCCTCTGCCTCCTAAGTGCTGGAATAAAAGGAGTTTACTATCAAATAATAGATTTGGGTTAGGTAAAGAATTTGATCCCTGGAACCCACATAGTAGAGCGAACTGGTTCCCACAGGTTTTCCCCTACTTTCCATACTCACCTCATGGCACATACATGGATGCACACCTACACCTGTTCACTTTCCCTCTCCCCTCTCTCTCTCTCTCTCTCTCTCACACACACATACACACACACACACACTAAATAAACAAATCAATAAATATACACTTTGTTTGTTTTTGTTTTTCGAGACAGAGCTTCTCTGTGTAGCTCTGGCTGTCCTGGAGCTCTGTAGACCAGGCTGGCCTTGAACTCAAGAGATCCACCTGCCTCTGCCTCCTAAGTGCTGGAATTAAAGGAGTTTGCCATCACTTCCTGGCAAATACACACATTTTAAATGAAAAACATTGGATTCTATAAAGTAATTTTTAATTTTATTTTTGGCTTCTCTTTTTTCTTGAGACAGAGTTTATCTGTGTAGCCCTGGCTGTCCTGGAACACACTCTGTAGACCAGGCTGGCCTTAAACTCACAGAGATCCACCTGCCTCTGCTTCCCAAGTGCTGCGATTAAAGGTGTTCGTTCCCACCTGGCAAGATTTTAAAAGTAATTTTTAAAGATTTATTTTTTACTTTCATGAGTATTTTACCTGTATGTGTCATGTGCAGTGTCTATGGAGACTAGAAGAGGGAATTAGATCCCTTTGAGCTGGAGGTTCAGACTATTTTGAATTACTTGGGGTGCTAGGAACTGAGCCATTTCTTCACTTCATAAGATGCTTTGAATGGTTCTTCCTTGTAAGGAAAGCATAGCTCCAGAGTCATTCTTAGGATACTCAAAATCTAAACCACTTAGGGTGGGGAAATGGCTCAGTGGTTAAGACCAGAGGACACAGGTTCATTCCCTGTTCCCACATGGTGTCTCACAACCATCTGGAATTCTGGTTCTGGGGGATTAATGCCCTCTTCTGGCCTCTGTGGGCATTGCATGCACATGGTGCACAGATGTACATGCAATCAAAATGCCCATACAAGTAAAATAAAATTAAAAAATTAAAACACCAGCATTATATTTTATGCTAAATACTAAGTGATTATGTCATAGTTTCATGTCTGTTGCTGTGATAAAACATCCTGCCAAATGCAATTTAAGGGAGAAAGGGTTTACTTGGCTCACAATTCTAGATGATAGGCCATCACTACAGGAAGTCAAGGCAGCAGGAACGTTCATCGGCCAGTCACGTTACATCTACAGTGAAGAGCAAAGAGCCTTAGGCCATCACTACAGGAAGTCAAGGCAGCAGGGACGTTCATCGGCCAGTCACGTTACATCTACAGTGAAGAGCAAAGAGCCTTGAATTCATGCATGCATGCTTATGCTCAGCCTCCCTTTTCTGCTCTTACATAATCCATGATTCCCTACCGAGAGAATGTACCACCCACAGTGGGTACACTAATCAGGGTAATTTCCCACAAACATGTCTTCAGGTCAATTTAATCTAGAAGTTCTTCGCTGAGATTCCCTTCCCAGATGATTCTAGACCATGTCAAATTAAATTTAACCATTTAATTTAACCAATTAAAATTAACCATCAAGAAAAATTCATTGTATTCCAAAAGGGTTTATGGGAATCCCATTTTATAGCCAGTCAGTCTTCTGGTGTGCAGACATGCTACATAACACCTATATACATAAAATAAATATGGTTTTTTAAAAATTCAACCACCCAGGCTTGTAGTTAGCATTTGTACTAAGTAGGGACCCATATTGAGACTTAGCCTCCCACCTGTGTGGTCTGACATTATCTTCAGGTAGATTTGTCACCACTGAGTTGCTGCTTGTTTGGCATGTAGATAAAGGTGCCTATATGTAGGTGGTGTCAAACTGATCTGAGTCAGAAGACTGCAGTAGGAGAAGGTAGGTTGGAATCAGTGCTTTTTTCTTTTCTGTACAGTCATCAAAGTTTAAAGCTTAAAATCAGGCATAAACAAGGCAAGAATAAGAGAAAAATAGTTATAAGATGAGCAGAGACTGAGTTTCTTGGCTTAGAAGGAGCAGGGATGTTAGTCACAGAGCAGACACATCAGTCTCTGTGAAGACAGAAGTAGATGGCAGGCATCAAGCAGCACTTCCGAGGCCCAAACCCTGCCTTCTTGTGGCTCTGTCATTCCCAGTCCAAGCTTTCCAAGAACTCAGAGGGAGGTTTTGGGAGCTTGGCCCAGAACCAACCACTTCACTCACTAGCTAGAACATTACCACGGCTAATGTGAGGGAAACTGGAAAAGGACAACCTAGTCATGGGCCCAGGAAGAGGAAAGGTGTTGACCATCATTTAACAGCTTGTGCCAAGTATGTCCTGGAGAGGAGCTAACTGCCTATTGGCAGGCAAGAGACCAAGCAAGCATCTATGGGAAATTAAGACAGAAGCAGTACAAATCTGAGAAGTTCATCATTGACGTTCTCTGTGGCAAGTGGGCCAGGTCCATCATCACTTCTCCTTTAAGACAATGTCCTCAGCAGAGACCTTACCCCCCTCCCAGCATGTCTGTCCTTCGCTGGAGATATTTCTGGTTGTCAACTCAGTGATCAGTGGTACTGGCATTTAGCAGGTGTAGAAAGTGAGGATGTTGCCAAACGTTTTGCACTGGGCTAGAAAAGGACTGCCTGAGCCCGTGTCAGTGGCAGGTTAGGCCATAGTTTATAGAAAGAAAGAAAAAGGTAAATGGAAAGTTCAGTGCTGTGCTTTCCATTGAAGAGTAAGGGAAGGATGATGGGGCCCAGTACAGAATGTTTCTGGGGCTGGACAGACGATGGCTCAGCCATGAAGAACTCACACTGCTCCTGCAAAGAATCCAAGTTTGGTTGCCAGTACTCATCTTGGGTGACTCACAACCACCTGTAACTCCACCTCCCGGGGACTCAGTGCCCTTTCTGGCCTCCAATAGGCATAGCATGCATATGCACAGTCACACATGGATACAGACATACACACACATGTACTTTCATACACATGTACTTTAAATCTTTTTTTGTTTGTTTTTTGAGACAGGGTTTCTCTGTAACTTTGGAGCCTGTCCTGGAACTCAATCTATAGACTAGGCTGGACTCACAAAGATCCTCCTGCCTCTGTCTCTTGAGTGCTGATACTGATCACTGTTTCCCTTCCCTCTGCTCCTCCTGTTCCCTCTCCCCACCTCCTTTCTACCCCCCCCCCCCTCCCCCCCTTTTCCCCCCCCCCCCCCCATCCACTCCTCCATTCAAAAGGAAAGGAGCAGGCCTTCCATGAGAGTCAACAAAGCATGGCACACCAAGTTGAGGCTGGACCAGCATGGGGAATGGGTTCCTAAAAGCCAGCTACATGCCAGGAACAGGTCTTGATCCCACTGCTAGAGGCCCCACAAATAGACCAAGCTACACAACTGTCACACACATTCAGAGGGCCTTGGTCAGTCCCATACAGGCTCCCTAGCTCTTGGTCCAGAGCTCAGGTCACGAGCTTAGCTCAACTGTCTCTGTGGATTCTCCTGTTATGACCATTACTCCCCCCCCCCCCCCCCCCCCCCCCCCCCCCCACCCCCCCCCCCCCCC